CTGTGGCCGCAGCAGCTCCGGCTGCACGAGGAGGAGGAGGACGCTGGTCCCCGAGCGAGGAAGGGCTCGGCAGGCTCAGCCCGCAGGAGGCAGGACAAGGGAAGAGTCGGAGCCACGCAGGCAGGAACAGCGGCAAGTCAAGCAGGCAGCGATCCCTCGTTATTGCTCCTAATGAGAGCATTGAGGACCACCCAGGGAAAGGCGGCGGAGCTGAGAGGAGGAAGGTCACTGCATCCCACGGCCCAAAGCCCCCTCCCCGTCGCAGCCGGATGGATGGGTACTGCTCCACACCACACACACTATATGTGTATGTTTACATCCATATATACCTCCGGGACAAGCAGCAAGGACCAACCTAGGCATCGCAGCCGCTGTTGCAGCCTCCTCCCTCCTCCCCACCCCACTGACGATGGAGTGGGATGGAAGGTAACAGAGAACACGTGGCAGTAGGAAAGCTGCAGTGTTCAGCTTGAACCCGGTGTGAGCAGCCTTGAAACCTCTGCTGGAGCTTGGCTCACACCAACTCCATCCCCAGTTTTCAGGGAGTCAACAGCAGCGTACCCAGGCCCCCCCCAGGCAGCAGCTGCTCGAGAGACCTGCTGCCAGCTCGGTCTGCCCAGAACAGATTGGGTTTTTCTTAAAAAAACCACCCACAAAGCAGCACTTTCTGAGAAGAGTTAGAAAAATCACTTATCGTGAATCTTTTGACCATATTTCTCTATCTTTCATCGCTGCACACATCACCAAACCCATCTCGCTGTTGCTGGGCTCTTGATAAATGGGGTCTTGCCTGGAGTTACCAGCGAGGCTCTGCACCCGCTGCCAGCCCTGCTGCTGACCAGGGGAATTAATAAATCACAAGGGAGAGAGGGAGGAAAAAACCCCAACAAATTGTTTTGCAACTTCTGCCAAAATTTCTTTCCAGAGCCCAGCCCTTGTGTCTGGAGATAAAATTGACTGCTGCAACAGCAGCATCCCTCTGGACAGCCTCCGCACCGCGGGCTTCAGAGCGAAGCAGGGATGCGGGCAGCCACGCTGCATTAAATCCCACCACAGTTCAGCTCCTCTGTGTTGCAGGGGTGTCTCTTCAGCAGCTCTGGCAGCTAAACAGTTCCCATCGGGTAACGTGCTGGCGGTTACTTGCCAGCCACAGCGCTTCCCTGAAACGCTTCACGCTTCACTCGGTGGTTGTGCAAACGGGGGGTGGCCGCAGGGACAGGAAGGTGACATGGCTGCAGTGATGACAGCGAGTGTTTAACCACAGGGATGCTCTCCAAAACGTTCCTCGAAAACCCCCGCCCCCAGCACAGTCGGGTGTTCCCATGAGAAGTGCAGACAGCCTGGGGTCCGGCACCCACGGGGGTTTTAGGAGGATGCAGGTCCCCGAACGCCCGGCGCCTGGCTCTCCTCTCCACACACCGGTGATGGGAGCAGGGGGGATGCGGGGACCTGGCTGCAGGAATGATGGGTGGTCACAATCCATCCGGATCCTGCCTCGTACCACATTTCTCAGGAGCGTCGCAGCCCTTCAGCTCTTGCAAACCTGCAACCGAACAACGTGAGCTCATCTCCTGCAAGATCTGCTCTCCACCAGGACAGCCCAGGCTCTGCGGGAGGTTTTTCCTTATTGCTTTTGACTTTCTTCTTAACAGGTTCCTGTAAAAGCTGATGCTAGAAGGGTGCAGGCTCCAGCCGCTGGCCCGAATCACTCCCTCCACCGAGGGAAATGCTGCAGCCCTTGTAGCTCTGAAAACCTGTACATCCCCCATTGCCCCAGGGCACCCCGAGCTCCCGCTGAGACACCGGCCCTGGGAGAAAACCAAATGGGAATTCTCTTCCCATCCCTTTGCAATACCAGGACAGGAGCACCGCGATCCTCCCTCTGCTCTTCCATTTCTAAAGCACAGCACATGCACACACACAAATCAAACAGCAGAGAGGGGGAAATAAAAAAAAAAAAACAACAAAAAGCAAGGCAGCAGAGCTGTAAAACCCCATCTGGAGAGATTCCAGCCCCGAAAGGTGAAGCATCGCTTGCCTTCAGAGCATCCCATAGCTCAAGCAAACGACTTGGCCCATGGGGATGCATTCCTCCAGCGCCCAGCCAAGGTAGCTCCGCGCAGAGATTACCCTACAAGGGCAGCCACGGCCGCTCGCTCCCGGCTCTCTATCGCGCCGGGGAGAGGGACGCCTGCCTCCTCCGCAGGGCAAGCAGGCAGCTGCAGCAGCCCCCCGTGCTCCCGGGGCGGGGTTTGGGGGCTGCCCTCGTCCCCAGGTGTGGGTGCACAGGGGAGATAAGGGTGAGCAGGTCCCTTTCACTACACACTGCAGGGTTTTGGGTTTTTTTTTGTGATGGGACACAGAGATTTTGGTCCCTGCAGATCTTGGGCTGTCTTGGAGTGATGCAGAGCCCTGGCAGGGAGCGTGACATGCCAGTCACCACACAGTCATCTCTGCCAGCTGCTCTCCTCTGGGAGGATGTTAAAGCATAAAGCTGATGCTGACTTTGCAGAGAAGTGGCCAAATCGCACTCTGCAGTGGAGATGCTCACCCAAGGGTGCAACGTCACCTGCGCATCAGCTGCGGCAGCAGGAGGCTGCGGGTCACTGTGCTGCCTGCCGGGAGGGGACCGGTACCTGCTGGGGACAGGAACACAGCAGTGCGACCACCACCCTGCAGCTCCTGCAAAATCTCCCGGGGTTGCCGTCCTCACCGAGTGTGAGGCCAAATGGCTGCATAAATCATAGAATCACAGGATGGTTTGGGTTGGAAAGGACCTTAAAGCCCACCCAGTGCCACCCCCTGCCATGGGCAGGGACACCTCCCACTAGCCCAGGTTGCCCAAAGCCTCATCCAGCCTGGCCTTGAACCCCTCCAGGGATGGGGCATCCACAGCTGAATGTTCATCTGCCACAAAACACGCCAAGACGATTCTTGCCCATCGCCACTTCTGCTGTGCAGCGACGCTGCTGCTGTCGGGGCGGTTGCGTGGCTGCATTGCAGAAACCACCCGTTGCTTGACTTGCCCCTGCTTTCACCACAGCAGCCAGGCAGGGCTGAAAACAAGTGACACCACCATGGCGGTAACACTGACATCTGAGATGGGTTTGCTTCCAGGTGGTGAGGATGAGGAGGGGAGGGCTGGTGTGGGAAGGCAGGAGGGGAGTGGGGCGGCCACGGCAGCAGGCTAACGGCACATGGAGGGGCACGAGCACTGGGGTTATCTCAGTGTCCCGTCTGCACTTTGTACCTTTGGAGAATCACTCAGAAAAGACTTCTGCAAAGGTCTTGGAACAGATGCTTGGAAACCTTCCTCTTGCATGCCATGGGGCTCAGAAAGCAATACGCTTAAGTGCATAGAGAATGACAAATATTAAATACGAGGGCGAGAGGTCCTTGAGGGTGGGCAGCCCTTGCAAGGCTGCCAGTGTGTGTCTGGGTGATGGACACCTGAAAGGGTCTTGGAGAACATCTCCACATTCCTGAGCAGAACATCTGCAGGTCGCACCAAGCCAACCGAGCTCAGCCACGCACTTTCGCTTGCAGACACGTTGCCTCCCAAAACTGAGACAGCAGAAAGCTCAGAGGGGCCGGGGGGGATGGAGGCAGCAATACATGCACGGCATGCAGGAGGAGGGGATGGAAGTGACCGGGGTGATGGGGGGACGAATGTCAAACACTGCGACCACAGAGAAAACTGAAGAGTTTCAGCTTTCTGCCGCTTCAAGGAGAAGGAAAATCCAGCGTAATGGAAACACGACTGATCAAAGGAGAACGTTTTCCATGCAAAACCTGAACCAGCAGAACTCACAGCTAGACATTTGCATCCCTCAACTCAGCACCCTTGGCCAACCCTCAGATTGTGGCTTCAAAAGGTCCCAACGCTGGAGACCATCCCCAAGCATTGCGTTGCAGAGACCAACAGGTAGCCTGGCCCCCCCTGGCCAAAACTGCCATGCAAACGGCTGCTTCACTGGCTTTTTAGACCTTATTTGAAAGCAAAACACAGAGGCCAGTGTGGGAAAGGAGACCCTGTCTGGGAATGGGGTCCCTGGGCTCCACTATCAGCTGATTTTTCCAAGCCACATTCCCCCAGCTATGGCCCAAGCAGGTCCCCAGCACACATGAGCAAGGCTTTGGAGGAAGCGCAGGAGTACGGCATTCAAGGAGGAGACATGTAAGAAATCCAACCCTTGCTCTGGAGTCCGGCAGGTTTTCAACTGGTCCTCCCCGCTCCACGTGTGTCTTACTGTCCTGAGAATGCCTGGTAAAAAAAATCACAATACCAAAAAAAAGTGGCTTTTTGAGGTTTGTTTGTTTGCTTTTCAAAGCCCAAAGGAATTAGGAAGATGCAGGATTTCAATTATTTATTTCAAACACGACGATTTAAGCGTGATTTTGCCTGGTAGCTGTGATGGAATAGCTGCATGGAAACCCTGCTGGATGAGACACAGAGTCACCCATGAGCATCAGCAGCACCGTGACCGTGGGACTCGAAAGGATCAAACGCCTGCCAGAAACCCCACTGTGCTCGGAGCCGTGCTGGCAGAGCCGAAGAAAAGCCCTTCCTCCAACAGGGCTGAGTTTTTCTAGAGAAATGAAAAGTGTGGGTGAAAGAAAGAATCATCCCCAGATCACAGATGGTGAAGTGAAGACGGAGGGCATGCACGGGATGCAACAGCCAGGAATTCAACCAGCTCTCCTATGCCCCAGCCCAGTGCCGCACCATGTTCAAACAAGCCCCGGTGATGGAAAGCACCTATCGATCAGTCTGTTGAGAGATGCAACAATTAAATAAAAATCAGCTAGAAGCAATTTCTTGCTGCTCCCTAAAAACAGGAGCCCCAGCACCTCTGTTTCCCAGTGGAGGCTTTGCTGTGGTTGTGCATCAGCTCGCCACAGAAAGGAAAACTGACGGGAGCACCTCCAGCAAACTGGGAGCTGGCAATGGGGAGCACCACCAGTTTGTGCTCATTTACTGCTTGCAATAACTTCCCATCCCGTATTTCCAGCTTTTTTCATGGTTCTGCTCCATAAGAAGCCAACCAGGGCTGTTACGATGCCCCGAATCCCTCCCTGCCAGGGCTGGACAGACCTGCCTCCAACCCCAAAAGGCAAGAGTGGCTTTGCAGTTTTCCCGAGTCATTATTCAAGGGTGAAGGTAAGGGAGGGGTTTGCTAGGATGCTGGTTGCCTAAGGGGGGAAAAAGGGTTTGAGCAAGAGGATGCTGTGAAATGACACCCTGTCCCCACTCAGGTTGCCCATCTGTCCCCCAAGGGCCACCACACCTTCCTCAGGCAAGGATGGTGTCTCCTGCTCTTCTTCTCCCTGCAGTTGGGGCAAACACACCCTAAAAAATGAATCAAATCTGTTTTCCTGGAGAGGGGCCAGCCCCATGGTGGGCACAGCACTGCTCAGCAGCCGTGGCCCCGCTGCCAGGAAAACCTGCAAGATATCACCCACAGCAACATCTTTTGCAAGAAACGGAAGAAAAGATGATATCACCTCTTTGGAGGGCTGCCTAAAACCAAGCTGTGATTTACAGCAGGCAGCCCAGGAGCACACGGGAACCGCTGCCCGGGTGTCACAGGAACTGCTTCTCCTCCGCGTGTGCCACGGGATGGATCCTGAGAGGTGCCGGCCAAGGGCAACCCCATTAAAACCAGTTTCTAACACATTCAGCTCTCATTTGGTCTTAAAATAGAGGCAGCGAGTACAAGATGAGGATGGCCATAGAGGAGTGGAAAATCAAGGGGAAAAAAATAAAGGATTTGTGTTACAAACCAGTGTCTGACCTGTTTTGCTTTATAAGAGAAGGGATCCAGCTCCCAGGGGTTCACGAGCAGCTGGATGAACACACGTGGCAGATTTATTGAGTGCTCCAGCTCCTCAGGGAGTATTTCAAGCAGACGTTAAGTACCAACTGCTCTGTCCGGCGTGGCACCCGGGAAGGAAGGGGGGAGGAGAAAAAGTCCCTTTGTCACAGCAAAGGTGGATGAAGATGCAGGTGCAGACACCACGCAAGCAGAGGAGGTGAGCGAGGTGTCCCCGAAGCCACCGCCAAGCCCAAGCAAAGCGTCATGGAGCAAACATAACCCGGTGTGGCGCAGCCCACGCTCACCATCCAGGTGGTTGCGGGAAAGGTACTTGAGTCCTTCGTCCAGCAGGATAACGGGCAGGGAGATTTTCATCACAACCACCCACTGCGGCCAGCTCAGCGGAGTCACCTGGAAGATGAGCTGCAAGGCAGAAAGGATTGGACATGTCAGTAGGGAAGGAGGTGGGATGGTTTTTGTGTTTGTTTTAAAGGATGGATTGTTGTGTGGCACAGGTTGAGAAAGGGTCACCCCAGGTACAGAGGGAGGATCCAGACAGCCCAAAGAGCTGGATTTCTTCAAGGTCTGTGATGATCCCAAGGTGGCTCTTGGCCAAGATGAATGAAAAATAATGTCCTTCGCCTCTCCTGCAGAGGGGAAAGTGAGGCACAAGCTAGGACTGGATGTTCATGTGCTCACAGGCACTTAGCAGGTGACAAGGGACAATGTAACCTCCTGGGCACAGCGACATGCTTCATCCTAAGCATCCTTAGGCATCAACCGAGGCATCACCAGCATTGGACTGCAAAGGGAGGTGATGCCTCCAAAAGGGGCTAACCTACCTTCTGGAGACATCTACACCCCTTTATGTTGCCTATAACGAGAGCTTCTGACTTAGGTAAAGGCTCATCAGGGGAAAGTGGCTCCTGGTCCCCACGTTGGTTTGAGTCATGGCACATGGTCCTGAGGGCACATGCTGGGGACAACCATCCCAGAAGCTTCCAGACCCAAAGGTTGCTCCGGGGATGTCCTCACCCACAGGAGGAGGTGGCAGAGGGCACTCACAGGCATGGGCTTGACGTAGAGGATGAGGAAGTGCAGAGCCATGGACACGACGATGGCCCCCAGCAGCCAGATGTTGAGCCATGGTGGCATCCGCAGCAGCGACTGGTTCTCAGAGACACTGCGAAAGCAAGGGGACAGCTTCAGCCATGGTAACCTCCTGCTCCCTGCACCTGCCCAAGCTGGGGGTTCCCACTCCTCTCCTAGGTGCAGGGCCATGCGCTCTAGCCCTTCTCTTCCAGACTGTTCAGCTTCAGGCTTTGGTGCGATTGGGATCTGGACATCCATCTCAACACAACCAGCCATGCATGGATTAGGACCTGTCGTTAACAGGGCCAAACGACTAACAGACAAGGATCTAGTTCTCCCTCCACCACTATCGACAGCAGCACACTGCCTTGGAGGAATTTATTTACAGCAAACCCAGTGGTCCCCTGTGAGGATGCTCCGAATGGCTCTCCTGAGTCAAAGCAAAGCCCTCAGCCCACCAAGAGATGCTCAAGGAGATGCTACCCCAAATCGGTCATGCACAGAGCGTACAGAGCAATCCTGCAGCCACCCTACCTGTTCAGAGCGTTGCACATTTCAATTGTCACCAGCACGGACAGAGCCATTGTGGTTGGGTATCGGGACTCGAAGATCTCGCAGTCGATGCCTTCAAAGATGGGGTTGTCCTTGGTGCACCTCATGAAGTTCCTCTGTCAGCACAGGAAACCGCTGATAAATACATGGCAGAGCAGCAGTGTAGGAAAGGCAGGAAAGAGGAGGAAGAGGTCGACTGGTTGGGGGCACGTGGTGAACCTTGATTATTAGGGTTGCTGTTAAATACCCTGCAGTTCAGAGCAATTGATAAAACTGTGTAAAGTCACCCAGTGTCTGCTGCACTTGGGGCTGGACAGTGGCTTAGAGATGTTCACGTGCAGTTAATAAAGTGTTTGGGCACACACACGTCTCCATCAAAAATACATCTTCCATTGCACGTGACATTGGGGTGCGATGGCACCCACCTTCCCACCACCTTGTTTGGACCTACAGTAATGTAAAAGTTGATCACTTTCAATGTGGGATCAGGTGCAGGAGCTACTTCCAGCTCCTTTGGATGAAGTTTTCCCTGCCATGGTGGTTGCTGGCAGAAGCAAGGCTAGAAACATGAGTCTGAGGGAGAGAATTTGCTTTTATTTTAAATTATGGTCTTCTCCACCAGGAATCTGGGAATACCAACAACCACAGAAGAAAGGTAGAGGAAAGACCCCAACGCCTGAATCCATGCCTGATCCATGCCCTCACCCATCTGCTCAACACATCGGCCCGTTCCCCTCCTGACTCACCAGCTGATGGAAGGAGACCTGCGGTCCCTCAGCGTCGTACAGGAACCACCAGGTCGCTGCGCCCACCGTGGCCAGTCCCACGTACACTGCGGCCAAGAGAGACACCCTTACCCCCAGCACCCGGCAAGGAGCCCCCCACCCCATGGCACCCCATGGCCTGTCCTCTGCCCACCGGTGCCGGTGGGGG